ATGCACCCTATAGCAAAAATCTCTCCAAAAAAAGAAAAAAAAATCAAAGTTTGGGACCAGCTGGTGACATGGTGGTTAAGGCGACTGGATTACACATGGCCAACTTAAAGCAGTTGGATCTCACATAATGGTTTGGTTCAAGACATGGACCCAGAAGCTTGAAAAGCATGCCAGGTATGTGTGCATGCATGCCCAAAATCCCAAAAGGAGAATGGAAGAAAAGGGACTGTGATGTGGCCATCCTCCAGTGTGGGGAGGAAGTGTGGGGGAGGTGATTTTTCCCTTTCTCTCTCTTGCTCATTCTGTCTCTCTAGCAAGCATACACACCCTGCAGCAAATACAAAAAAAAAAAAAAAAAAAAAGAAAGTAAGAAAAAAGAAAAAAGAAAGAAAGAAATCAAAATTTGAAACATTTAGAGGTTTGCAAAAGTTGCCTTGAAACCAAGATTTCTGAGCCAGACCACCGCCACAATCAACACTGTAAGAGAGGATGATGTAGACTCAGTTTCCCTGAATTATTCCTGCTCTTTTAAATATCTCGCCTTCTAAAACTCTAAGATTCAGCCAGGAGTAGTAGTGCATGCAGGTAGATCCAGCTACTTGGAGTCTAGCCTAGATAGCACAGAAAGACTCTGTCTTAAAAGAATATTCATTTTTTCTTTTCAAATTAGCATCTTTGAATCATCTGAATTAGACTCACCTGTAGTACCTTGCCCACCCCAGACTTAGAAAATAAAAATCACTGGAGATATGTATTTTCAAAGTGAGTCTTATACACAGACTCTCAAGTTTGAGAATCACTATTCTTAAAAAGTTCTAGGGGCCAGCAAGTGACATAGTGGTTAAGGAGCTGGTACCACTTGGCCAACCTTGGCTCAAGTCCTGAACTTGGCAGCTTGAAAATCACGCTGGTAGCATGTACGTGCATGCCCAGAATCCCGAGAGAAGAATGGAAGAGAAGGGACTGCAGAGGCATGGCCGTGCCCCTGCAGGGTGATTTCTCACTTTCCCTCTCCCTGTCTCTCTGGTGAGTACACTCACCCTGTGACCAAAAAAAAAAAAAAAAAAAATCTGTAAGGTGGGACCTGCATCGATGGGTAATATGTGGATAGATAATATGTAAAACACATACCTATATTATGAAAATATCACTTCCTCTGGGAAGTTCACTAGTCAGAACTAGTGAACATTTTCATGCACAAAACCCACCCACTGTATACTATTCCATTAAATATGAATATGAGATGTATGCTGCACATATGCGAACAACATTAAAAAGTAAAATGGTATAAATGACAAAGTGGTGTATTAGTATTCAAATCAATTAGAAGCATTATTTTCCAACCCACTTAAAAAAAAAACATGGAAAAAAGAGCCAGAAGGTGGCATAGTGGTTGAGACACTGGACTCACACATGGCTGACTGCTGTTCTATTCCTAGACCTGGCAGCTTGCTTTCTCACTTTCCCTCTCTCTCTCTCTATGGTGAGTTGAAAAATAATAATAATTAAATAATTATTTTTTAAAAAAGAAAACATGGAAAGAGATTGTTTATTTCTTCTTTGTTTATTCTGTACTTGGATAATAAGGCACTGAATTTCTGCACTACAGATTTGGGTAAAGAGAATGCTCATTATAACAGGTAGAAAAATTGATTACTTCAGAAATCTCAAATATCAAAATGCAAATGTGCATAAAACTGACACTACTAGATGGTTTTTGTTAATATATGTTAAAGGCTTTCGGAAGGATGGAATCTTTACTTTTCTCCCGTATCCCTCTATCTTGTCAACTGACAGGTTGAAGTAAACTCTACTTTGTGTAAGAAAAGTCTTTCTTGATTTTAAACTATTTATGCTGACATACTATAGGCCTGATTCTTTTACGGCTTCATGTTTAAAATAACCAACAGGGTCAGACACAGTGGCACAGGGTAAAGCAATGCTCCATGCTATCAAGGCCACATACAGAGGTCCCAGGTTCATATTCCTGAGGTCTCCTTGTACATGCAGGACATGTGCGTACTTATGATCCCAGGTGGTTGAGCCTGGGGATGAATTATGGTGTGAAGACCCTATTGGGGATGCCTCTCTCTTTTTCCATCTCCTTTTCTGTCTCTCATAGAATAAATAAACAGATACATTTTTTTTTTTTTTTTACAAAGCACTGTCTGCCAATCTTTCAAAAGTAAATACAAGTTTCTAGGCTGTAGCTGTGCAACATTTCCAAATTACTAGCCAAGAAAATTTAATTTATATCTTCCCCTCTAATTCAATTTACAAAAACAGATCCATTTTACAATAAAAGTCCCCAGATTTTAAAATATTATCTAGGTACAATAAGCAATATCCATTCATTCAAAATATTTATAGAGGAACCAGCAGATGGCATAACAGTTATGTCGCTATACTCCCACATAGTCAACGCAGTTCAAGTCCCAGACCCAGTGGTTTAAAACTCACACCAGGTGCATGTGCATATGTGTCCAAGATCCCTAGAGGAGAATGGATTGTGGTGTAGCCATCTCCCCTGGAGAATGATTTCTTGCTTTGTCTCTGTCTCTCTAGCAAGCACTCACACCCTATAGCAAAAACCTCTCTTAAAAACAAAAACTGGGGACCAGCAGTTAGCGTAATGGCTATGTCGCTGGACTCCCACATAGTCAACGCAGTTCAAGTCCCAGACCCAGTGGTTTAAAACTCACACCGGGTGCATGTGTGTGTGTGCCCAATATCCCGAGAGGAGAATGGAGGAGAAGGGATTGCGGCGTGGCCATCCCCCCTGGGGGGTGATTTCTCACTTTATATATATATATATAGAGAGAGAGGCTACTACATGCCCCAGATAATAAAATAGACTCAATAAAAATATTGTTCAGGTCAACCAGTGGTTTGGGTTAAGGGAGCTGGATCCCACGTGGTCAACCACACCACAGGAAACACACTGGGAGTGTGTGTGTGTGTGTGTGTATGTGTGTGTGTGTGCATGCCCCAAATCCTGAAAGCAAGGAGAAATGGAGATAAAAGGACTGGCCTGACCATGCCCCAAGCAGGGGGAAATGTGTTCTCACTTTTCCTGTCTCTCTCTAGTGAGCATGTGTGCCCACTCTTAAATCATTATATTATACACACACACACACACACACACACACACACACGCACACACACACATATGGATCTCAGGTTCTAGAAAGAGGCCCAATGATAAAATACATTGCTCTATGAGAGAGTATCATGTGGGAACGTCCCTGGTTCAAGTCCAGAGACCTCAGTGAGAACCAAGGCACACATACTCTCTAGGCTGGCTGAAGGCTGAGAGTAGATAGCATCATCAAGAACTTGATGGGGGTCCTCTCTCTGTTTCTCTCCCTCCCTCTCTTTTGCTCATGGAAAAAATAAACTTTATATATGGCACTGACAGGTGGTATTGCAGTTAAGGCACTGGACTCCCACACGGCTGACTGAGGTTTGAGTCCCGGACCTGACGGCTTGCTTTCTCACTTTCCCTCTCTCGGGACCAGTCAGTGTAGTGGTTAAGGTGGCTGACTAGATCTCCCATGGTGGAATGACTGGTTGTAGGCTGTAGTTCCGGAGCAGTGGGTGTTTCATACCAAGGCCTGCATACATGCCCAAACTAAGGAGAAGAAGAAGAGATTGTGGAGTGACCATCTCCACCCCCACCCTCCCGTGAGGTGCTTCTCTCTCCCTCCCTCTCTCTCTCTCTCTCTCTCTCAACCATGAGCACACAAGTCCCATAGCAAAAAAGAAAAACAAAAAACTATTATATTTGAAGGTTGAGTCTTCAATCATTACAAATATTAAGTGTTACAAATACTAGACTATGTAGGGAGGATTTGGCTATAGCTCATCTGTTATATACCAATCCTATAGCAGACCAAGGATACTCAGATAATTTCTGTTGCTCTATTCAAAAGCCAAAAAAGAAAAAGTGCAGGATGTCTACAGTTTCCAAGGCTTCTACCTGGATATTCTCTAATATTTTGAACATGAAGTTTCTTCTCATACTATTTATACCCTACACTTTCATTCTGTAGCCAGATGTAATGACCAGGAAACAGTCACCTTCTCAATGGAATAGATACTATGAAGTGAAAGCACTTAAAATCCATGAAGTAATATCTAAAACGCGTTTCTCTGAACTCTTAAAAAAAAAAAAGTCCAATGGCTCCGTCTCAGTCAAGAAAAGCAGCAAAGAAAATGAAATGTATACTTTTGTCACTCTAGAAATAAACACTTCCTCAAAATGATGAGTTATCCGTAAGAGACCCAACACAAAAGACCAGGGAACCTGATGCCCAATTTAGGTCAGAGCACACAACTGTGGAAGACAAAAAACCACAGCCTGTGCAGAAAAATCGGGTAGTCCTTCCTAAACCCACAAACTCCAGGGACGTCTGGGAAATTATTTATTTTTCATACTGCTTCAGCGTTCTCCAAACGTGGAAGGGTTACACTGCAAGGAAATATCGAGGCGCTACACGGTGGCGGCCTCTTCACCCCAACAGCGCGGTTCCAAAACCGACTCCGCTGCCCCAAGGCAAGGCAAGGCAAGGAGGGGGACAAAAAACACCCGGTCACCCAGAAGGCGATCGGGACCGGCTGGCCAGCCCACCGCGAGCCCAGTGCGGCCCAGTGTGCCCTGCGCGTCCCCCAGGTGCCCTTGGAAGCAGCGGCCCGCAGACGGAGCCGCGCCCGGTCCCGGCGGACTCCAGTTCCACCCCCTCCGGTCCTTCCCCCACTCCGCCCTCTGGACCCGCTGGGCCCGCCGCGCCGGCTCCGCCCCTCGCCGCCCGACCGGGCCCCGGACTCTCCGCCGAGATGCAACTCAGTCCGGGGAGGGCGGACGCGACAGAGGTCTGAGAGCTCTGCAGGGCCCTCCTCCCGCAGGCCGCAAAGGCTCTCCCGGGAGTGGGCACTGCCGCAGCCCGACCAGGCCCGCATCCGGGGCTCTGGCCCGAGCGATCGCCGCCTTCGCCACTCACCTGTGTTCCCACGACGACGATCTGGGGCAGCTGGATGATGTCGGCGCCCACGGTGTTGAAGACATCCTGCAGCTTGTTGATGACAGGAATTAGCGCCTCCATGACTCGGAAAACACGGGACCCCCGCCCGGCCGGCCGCGGCAATGAATGGGGCCGGGGCCTAGATTCCGCCTTCTTCCTCCTCTTCTCCGCCTTCTCCTCGAGAACCCGCACCCATTGGACCCGCTACCTGCCCCCTCCCGGCAGGCCACGCGCTGCGAGGGGGTGGAGAGAAACAAAGCCTGACGGGAGTTGTAGTTCTGGCGCGGAGGCCTGCCGGCGCCTACGGCTTCCAGAAGGCTGTGCGGGACAGGCGAGCCCA